GGGTGCGATACCAAATCAAAGGAGAAAGGAAATTGAAGGAATGAGTCTTTGTAGTAGTGGTATATAAAGGAGAAAGGCATATATATACTATTAAACCAAATCATAATATCTTATTTCTTTACCTACTAAAATGAACCCCCTTTTTGTTTTCCTTTTTTTTTTTTAATTTTTGAACGGACTAATATGAAACATGCTCATTTCTAACAAGAAGATAATAACAAGAAGATAAAAACTGTTGTTCCTCGAACACTCTCCTCCATCTCCACATCATGTTATTGTTGTGCCTCGGTCATAAGATCAAATAAAATAATGATTAGTGAACTTATCAAGAAATATTGATAAAAAAAAATCATCTAAAGAGGCGTGAAAAATTTACTTACTTTAAGGCGATTCACATCTTTGCAAATAGTAGATCAACCGGTGCAGCAGAGATACATAAAGCATGTCACCCCCAGAATACTACAGCTTTATAATAACATGCTATGGATATGCACTACCCATAGAGTCACCTTATTCAAAACACCATTTTTTACCTAAAAATATTTAGAAAATAAAGTGAGGTAAGAAAGAACAGGGGAATGTGTAGAAAACCCATTTTTGAGCAAAAGACATGTCCTATTTATAGGACTCATGATCTTGTAACCCCCATTTATAGATTAATGATAGGAATAAATTGGGCAATTATTATGAAATAATGTGCCCTTAAATGTGACAATTAACCTCCAATGGTTAGTTTGACGAAATCCTTAATGGGACAATAAATTCAATTTATAAAATATATTATTTTATTTTTTATTAAAATATTTAAGTTCCAACAATTCCCCCACTATTTTAATAAAAATAAACCCTTCTTTGAGCAAAGATGGATTATTATGCATAATAAAGGTAGCTAAGCCTTGAACCTTTACTTAGTGAGTCAATAATTCTTAATCCAAAGTCAATAGTGAACTAAGTCTTGAACTATGACCCAATTGAAAGATACAAGAATTGTATCACACACATAATGATTCGAATGTTGAGTTTTTTTTCACACAGCTGGCGCATTATGACCTTGCACATGATCTTGATTTTCATGGGTGATCTAGAAAATTACCCATCCAATTTTCATAGAAACGGTCTTACTTCAACACCCACATAGGTGAAATTAGTCAAGGGTGCTCCCATAACTAAGACACCCCACTCTATGAGCTACAAATTTCATTAAGAGTATTTTTTTTTGAACAGCAATTGGATAATTCATTGATGAAGAAAAACATTGAGTACAAGGGGTACTCAAGCCCTTACAACAAAAACAAAACCAGCCCTTCAATGTTACTACTATCTTTCGAAGCATTACTACTTTCGTCTACCATTTACTAACAGACAAGAAGTAGGATCAATCATCCAATCCGAAAGACTGAAATAACATCTAGTTTTCCTTGCTTTAACCCAAGCAAAAGATCTCAATTGAATAAGTTCAAAAAGATTGCTTTTGTTTACCTTTGAATCATGGAAAACCTTCCCATTTCGTGCCATCCATATAGTCCACAAAACTGTGTTCCAGATGCAGTCCCACCCTTCTGAAATGTGTGGTTTTGTAGTCCATGTCCCAAAATGTTGAAAGGTTGTCCAGCAATCTCTGTGAAGTGTAAAGTTTGTTCCCCACCAGTTTGCACATGCTATCCACAATCTTCTAGCTACTCTGCATTCTAAGAACAGGTGGTTAGTATCTTCGGTCTCTTCCTCGCATAAGACACAATTCCCTTCAGCCATATCTTTGATAACTCCCTTTTTGATCAAATTTAACTTGGTTGGAATTCTGTCCAGCAATGATTTCCAATTAAACACAGCCACTTTACTAGGGACGATGGGATTCCACACCCTTTTAAAGATTTTTTCTTCCTCTGGGTTCTTCCTTAGCATTGAAAGCCTTTGATAAGCTATTTTTGTTGAATATTGGCCTTCCTTGCTGAGACTCCATTCCCATCTATTTGGGCAGCCTGGTGTGATCTTCACTTCTTCAATCATCCCTTTTAGTTCTCGAGCTGCTTCTTCTTCCCATTCAAACAATTTCCTTCTCCATGTTAAATTCCATTTCCATGTGGCCCTCTCCACTTTACCCATTTCATGACATTCTTTTCCTTTCCCTGTTGACAGTAAATACAACCTAGGAAATTTGTTGGCTAAACACTCCTCCCCGCACCATGAATCCCACCAGAATTTAATACCTCTCCCTTCCCCTATCTTCAGCCTAAAATCCTCCCACAACCATCTCGCGTTCACTCCCTTCCCGGCCTTGAGTCTTCGGACATCTCTCCACCATAGCGATCCTATGTTCCTGCCATCACGCACCCAATCCAGCCAGTGTCCCCCTTCTGCTCCGTATTTTCCTACAATGACACTCTTCCACAAGCCCTCTTCCATATTTGCCAACCTACTCAACCATTTTCCCATCAATGCCACATTAAATTTCTTCAAGTCTTTTACTCCTAAACCTCCCTCCTCCTTTGATCTACATACCCTCTCCCAACTAACCCAATTAATTTTCTTCCCCTCTCCCTCCCCTCCCCATAAAAATTTTCTCCGAATTTTATCTAGGGAGTAGAGAATACCTTTGGGTAATAAGTAGGCTGACATTTGGAACACCGGTAAGCTGGACAATACAGAGTTTATCAGCGCGATTCGACCCCCCATTGATAAGTCTCGGCCCTTCCAACTTGCTAGCTTCTTTTTGAAGGAGTTCACCAGTGGCTGCCACATTGTTAGTTTTCTATGATTCCCTCCAATTTGAACTCCTAGATACTTAACAGGGAGCTCGCCTTCTTTGCAGTGGAGAGTGTAGGCCATTCTCTTTTTCCAATCTTCCTCAACCCCGATACCCATTAGCTGACTTTTACCATAGTTAATCTTAAGTCCCGAAGCTAACTCAAAGGTCCTCAAAATGCATTTGATAACTTGAATGTTTTCCTTTGATGCTTCGCCAAAAAATATCGTGTCGTCTGCAAACTGGAGGTGTGATACCGACACTTCTTCGTTTCCAATCCTCACCCCCTTGTAGAGATTTTTACCCACCGCAGATAACATTAAGCCATTCAATCCCTCCGCTACTATTAGAAACAAGAAGGGCGATAGTGGATCTCCTTGCCTTATCCCTTTACTAATCGGGAACTGCCTTGTGGGGCTTCCATTAATGAGGATTGAAACTGTGCTTGACTGTAGACATTCCTTCATCCATTTTCTCCATGTGGCAGTAAATCCCATTCTCAACAACATGTAGTCAATAAAATCCCAGCATACATTGTCATATGCTTTTTCGACGTCAACCTTGAGTAGAAAGCTGTTTTTCTTCTTTCTCTTTGCCTCCTCAATCACCTCATTAGCGATGATCACCCCATCCAGCAGCTGTCTACCTTTAATGAATGCCATTTGCTGCTCCCCGATGATCTTATCCAGAACTTTCCTCAGTCGGTTAGCTAGCAGCTTTGCCAAGATCTTATACATAACTCCAATGAGCGAGATTGGCCTATAATCTTCAATTCTTTGGGGATTCTCAATCTTCGGGATTAAGACTATGAAAGATGCATTTGCTCCTTTTTCTATCTTGCCTCGCTCGTGGAATTCCTGGATATAGCCAATAATATCTTGTTTGATGACCTCCCACATAGCCTTTATAAACTTGAAATTAAACCCATCAGGCCCTGGGGATTTTGTTGGCTCACAATCCCACACTACATTCTTGATTTCATCCTCAGAAAACTCAGCCATAAGGGATTCATTGTCTGCATGGGATAGTTGTTTGAAGTTGATGCCATCCAGCTTTGGTCTCAGCCAGTTACTTTCTGTGAACAAATCTTGAAAGTACCTTGCCACTCCTTCTTTTAACTCCCCCACCTCCCGAATCTGTTTCCCATTCACCTGGATGCTATTAATCTCATTTCTTCTCCATCTGCCCTTCACACAATTATGGAAAAATCTTGTGTTAGCATCCCCATCTCTTAACCACATCTTCCTTGATTTCTGCTGCCACATTCTCTCCTTGATTTTCAAGTTCTCCCACAGATCTAAGAAGCAGTCTTTCCTCTTGTTTGCATCTTCTTCCGATAATTGGACGGTTTCTCCTTTCTCATCCAGAGAAGCTATCATCTTTTTAGCATCTTTTATCTTGCGGTCTACTTCCGACATGTGGTTGCCACTCCACTCCTTCAAGGCTTTTTTAGTTCCTTTCAATTTCTCTTTCAGTCTGAAACCCTTTCTCCCATCTTCCCCTGTAGAATTCCATGCCTTTCTTATAAGCTCCTTACATTCATGCTGCTCCAGCCACACATTGAAGAATTTAAACGGCTTTGGTCCCCAGTCTATCTTTTCATTTTTCAGGACCAACGGGCAATGATCTGACACAGTTCTGCCCAAACCCCACTGTTTCATATCACTCCACTTCTCAAACCAATCAGCATTTATCAAAAATCTATCAATTCTACTCATCTGTCGACCATTTGAGCTATACCAAGTATACTTTCTGCCTATCAATGCTAAATCAATCAATCCTGCATCCTGGATAAAGCTATTAAACTCATTCATCTCTGTAGTTGTATCTTTACACCCCGCCCTCTCCTCAACCTTTGTGACCGCATTAAAATCACCCCCTAAACACCATCTTCCCTTCCTTCTGTTGATCAAATTACCCAGCTCCTCCCACAACTCTCTTTTGCCCACCAGAGTACATGGAGAGTAAATGTTAATCAGATGTACTGGTATCTGCTCTTCTCCCCATACCCCAAACACCCCCATAAAGTAACGGCCCTCCACCACCTCCATCATTTTGAACACAGATAAATCCCAAATACAAAGAAGTCCTCCAGATAAACCCTCTGAAGGTTTAAAAATCCAACCAAAATTGTCACTGCCCCACACTCTCCTGCATAATTTTCTATCTACAACTTCCAATTTTGTCTCCTGCACTGCTAAAAACTCTATCCTTTCTTTAATAACCAACTCCTTAATAATTCTTTTCTTCCCCACCCCTCCTATTCCCCTTATATTAAAGGACATTAGGATCATTAATCTCGGTGCTTACCTTCTTTGCTTCCTCAGCTGCCCGATTTACCATTTCTTCTTTATTTTGTCTGTCTCTCCTCTCCATCTCTTCAATTCTTTGCACTATCACCTCGTCCTTCTCTGCTGTAGCACCCAACTGTTTGGCTAAATCCCAAATTTCCTTAGCTAGGTGGCTGTGCATTTGTTCCTTCCAAGCCCTGTTACAATTTGCTATTCCACTATCTCCAATGGATTCCCCTGCTATCTCGCTATTTGGGCTAGCCAAGAATACCGGCATTAGACTACCTTTCTTTGATTTCCGGATCTGTTTTGCACTTTCATCTTTTTTCTTTCTCCTTCGTTCACCACCCTCAGCCCCCTCTCTTCGGTAGATAGCACTACAAAGCCTGATCTTCTTCTTCCTCTTTTGCTGAAAAGCTAGCGCCCCCTTCTGCTTCAGGATCTGCCTCTGCTCCGCATCGCCGTCAAGATCCCACTGCGTAGGAGCTCCTCCTTCCTCTTCGGACAGAGACATCTTGGCTCCCCTCGATCCCTCCTGATTCGAGAGCTGCTTCTGATCATCATCGCCGTCATGCTCCCACATGACCGACTCCCTCACTTCCTCCACGGTAGACGCCTCCTTGTCCCCTCTCGACCCCATCTGGTTTGGAGATTGCATCTTCTCCTCTGCAGCACCGATTTTCTGCTGGACCGAATCCCCTTCCCCATCTTCGGAAATTACAGCCTTAGATCTTTTGTCTTTATTCATCTCCATAAGTTGACCAACCGATGGGCCTAATCCCCTTAGACCTTGGCCCAACCCTTCATTAGTTGACTCCTCAAAGCTTGGGCTGCTTCCATGGGATTTGGGCTTACCTTTCAGCCTCCTCCTATGATTCTCCTTGAAGCCCAATTTTTCTACAGCACCTTTCAATTTCTCCTGTTGTTGCCACGTTCCCTTTTCCGCTGCACTGTGGTAATCTTCATTTGAATTTTGAACTTGGACCAAGCTCCCCGCCCCTGCTTCAATTCTCCCCTTTTTGACCTGCACATCATGTGACAGAAACTTCCCATCACTGTGACCGTTACTGTACGCCACCTCATCATCTTCCTCCGCCAGCTTATCATCTCCCATGAACTCTTGCTCCATCTCTGCAATTTTTTCCAGATCAGAGTCTTCCTTATCACTTTCTAGTGACCATGACTCCTCATTTTCAGACTCGCTTTGAAAAGTTGGCATGAAATCCTGCTTCAAGGAGAAGAAGCTGTTAGTGAACTCCTCCTCCGTAAATTTAACATTGTGCATGACCCCATTAATTTTAATCTGTCTCAATACTGATATTGTATTCATGATCGGTGTTGAGAGCAGAAATCTGGCTACATCGAATCTTCTTTTTTGGCTTGTGTTGTCGTCCAAACAAATGAATTTACCCCATGAACTGCCCATTTTTGCAAAAAAATCTGATCCCCACACATTTAGGGGTGCTCCTTGACACCTAACCCACACAAACCTTTCATCCGCCACCTTATCCGGTGACCATGGTTTTACTTCTGCAAACCATTGTCCTAACCACTCGGATGCCGACTCCACCAAATGTTTTAGCTCATTTTTGTCATCACAATCAAGAAGCACCAATTTTCCCCCCATCGCGCGGATTCGACATGCAAAGTACCCTTCCATGTAAAATTTTTCCTGCAAGTTTCTAACCATTTCCACTGAGTAAACTGTTCCTACATAGCATCCTTCAAGCCACGCATACTCCCCTGGATCAACATTGTATTCAAATCCAGCCCAATTAGCGCTCTTACCCTTTTCTTGCCACACTTTTCTGTTATCAATGACTCCCATTTCACCCTTGGTTTGGCTTCTAATAATCCTCTGTCCTTCCATATGATTCCCCGTAAATTGCTTACTCCCCTTCTCCTCTTGATCTTTCTCCTGGTGGTTCTTCACCACTTCGGCGTAGCTCCTGAATTGAGGTTTCCTTACAACTCCTTGAGAAGGTTCCTGATCTCGCACCTCCCTTCTTGCCTCTACATATCTCGGGACATTAACCCACAACTTGCTTCCTTCAACCCAGATCTGATCCAGCCTCCTTTCCA